TCTTTTCCCAATGAGGAGTATGGGTGGTACTATGCTGCAAAAGAATGTATTACTTGGAAGCTCCATCTGGAACAGTGAGCGCACATTCAAGTGGCACTAAGAAACGAAAATGGAAAAAAAAGATGTTGAGCAATCGCAACAAGTAAATTAACATACAAAAAGTAACGTTCTTGATTATCAATATAATAAATTTAATTGGTTAAAAAAGAATAAATTTAATAAATTTAATAAAACTCGTGATTTGATATACCAAAAAAGATACTTTAAACAATAAGAGTTGGTACCGATCCCTGAATCACAAAGAAGCTCATTTTGGTACGACACCGCGAAACTCATTCCTGCTTTCTCCGCATTCGTTTAGCATCTGCGAGTCTATCAGTTATTATTGCATTATATGTCATTCGATATATCAGGCTTGTTTTAATTATGCTAAGTTTTAATTAATATATATCTAATATATCTAATATATCTATCATAATTATTGATCGTATCAGTTGGATAAAGTTACAAATCATACGAAATCATACAAAATCAACAATTACGTTTTATTTTTTTGTGAAAAAAAAAATCTTGATAATTTTGATAATTATAAATCATATATAAAATAATATAAAAATAATATAAAAATAATATAAAATAATATAATAAAAATATAAACCTAATACAGTATAAAACTAATATAAAACTAATATAAAAAATAATATATATAGTTATGTAAAATTATATAAGATATTATATAAGTTGTATAGTAAATTATACGTATAAGAAGTATATATACTGTATATAGTAATTTATATGAGTTACAGTATACAAAATAACAGTATACAAAATACAAAATAGTATATAAATAAATTGTAATAGTAAATTGTGATAGCAAATTATAGATATTAGATATTATAGATATTATATAGATATTATATAGATATTATATAGATATTATATAGATATTATATAGATATTATAGATATTATAGATATTATAGATGAAAAGATTACAGTTTTAAAATAATGTTTATTCTAACGATATAAAAAGCATCTTTTTTAAGTGATTTTGGTTAGTAAGTTTGGTTGTATCACAAATTCTTATCAGGAGAAATGAAGGACATTTCCGGTAATTCGCGCAACCAGTCACAAACTACATGTAATAGATAACGGATTTAGAATGAATAGCATGGTGCAACCTTATTTATAAAACGAAACAATAAGAATACAAAAGGATTGAGCGTCCGCTTACTCCGAGTCGATGCAACGTTCGTGTGGCGGTGTTACTTGGTGATGAAAGCGGCATATGTGTATATGTGTTCTGGGAAGTGAAATTTTTAGACTATATTTAATAATGGCATCATGAGTGTTACAATCCAATGTAAAAAAGTAGTTTGATATTCGTTAAACTATTCTAAAAACTGTTGTTTGTATTTTATTCAGGAAATATATTGATATTTAAAGCGGTGAATACAAAGACAGGGCTACAAATGGGCAAATGTGCATAAAAACAGCCTTTTTTCTTATTTTAATTCATGATAAATTTTGTATTGTTGAGTTTTCAAAGGGCGCTACTTTTTCATCCGGGTTCCCAGTCAACTTCCTAGACTTTTCCGGTTTGCTTACTTGATTTCTACTGT